TAATTATCAACAATACATATGCATGTATGTGTGCACCACCAATGGACATTTACTGAATTCAAGACATTTGCTGACATTTTCCAGAACGAAGAAAATGTATGTAAGAACGAAATGTCAGTCTTGCCCGGACACTTTCAAGAACTTCCTGGAAATGTCATGCTTTTCCCACAGTGCTGTAACAGCCCAGGTGAGATGTGACTTCTTGTGTTTAAAAGGCTACATGCAGGAAGCTTTCCCTTTGCATTAAAGACATAAATAGATGATTTGTCTCTGCAGTCTGTGCAACTGCTGAGTCATGTACACACCTCTTCAAAGGTCAGTGATACTAATTAGAAACATGAAATTGCACTTTTAATTTGAGCCATACCTAGGGTTGATTTATAGTATAGCGTATAAAATTAAATGTTCTTATGTTCTTTGCTCGTTTTTAACTAATTTCTTTTTAAAATTTCAGTTTCAGATCCCTCGTCAGCTGCTGAATGACTGAGGCGTGAAATTCAAACACCTGCAATATGGCTCAATATGGTTGCTAAGCATATCGAGCGTCTAGAAGAGAAATGGCTTTAGAAATACAGACAACAGTCTTCTCTCCATTAATAAGCCACCAGTGGACTAATTATACACACACATGTGTGCACACACACACACACACACACACACGTGCACATCACAGCAGAGATCAATAGAAAAACACATGTCTCCGAGTTTCTCTCTGAAATGAAAAGAAATTTGAATCATTTGTCATCATCAGCACCTCCAGATGCAATTTACTTATCATGTTTCTGGACATGCAGTATCAGACCAGTGTGACTGTGAATTTGCATTATGAGTAATGCTTCAATATCTCCACTTCACGTCAGAGTCCGAACCAGCAGGCAAATTTGATTTCAGATATCGGGATGAAAATAGCTGTCCATTCTCCAGTGTTTCCAGGGATGGGCCCGGGTCTGTTCCGTCACATTTTACAGATAATTTCATGTGATGAAATGAGAGATGCAAATTTGTTTGTGATTTCATGCATGAATCAGATTTATGGCTGCTGTCTGGGGCCTCGTAGGTCTCTCAACACATCAGCTCCCATCCGTCGTGTGATAAATCCCTTGAATTAGCGCCTCCATTAAGTCACTCAGCAGCTATTAGGTGCATGAGAGGAGCCTGAGCATCATCTCCTGTAGCCTTCACTCCACCGAGCTCTTACATTCCCACACTCACTGCCACTTAAATCAGTTTACACATGAGAACACCTTTGCCCTATTTGTGCTATAACATCCTGGTGTAAATTCACTTTCAATACACAAGCTAAGCCTACACTTTTTTATATATGTTAAATAAAGACTTTTTGTGTCTGCAATCATGTTTATATAAGGAATAGACATTACACATTCCAGCAGTTGGTGAAGATGCTGGATGGAGAGTCTGACTGTGTTGAGTCCTTGTTGACTCCAGTAGTTCATTAATCAGCCTTTAAAGTCGTCACTGTGTCGCGTTTCTGACCAAACAGTGACGGTGAATAGACACATTTTCTGTGTCACTTGTGACCAACCCAAGTCTGTATATTCCCTGAAATGTCCAACAATTCCTTGAACTTGTTTTGTTAAAAAAATACAATATGCAACTTTGGCTACTAGGGGTTTATCATTCAAAACAATTATAAACAACCTATTCTGTATTTATGCATCGGGACAATCAGAAACATTAGTGCTTGGCTAAGAAAATTCCCAGGAGCAAGTCCGAACCACACGGCAAAGGTCAGTGTTCTCAGCACCAAGTATCAGTGGGAGCAATCTGACAGCATTGTTATACGAACATGTTTGATGTTTATCTGATACAAAATTAAAATCACATTTTTGCACCTTAAGTATATTTAAAAAAAATAAAATCAATGTAGCTGAATCACTGATACTTTATATTTTCAATGACTGCATCTGGTGGAAAAAGACAAAAAATATATTGAAAATACACTTTCTTATCATCATCCTCATTATTAGTTCACTTTGTTTGTTAAATTTCCAGACATGCTGTGTTGCCGAGCAACGGTCTCTCCTATCCCTATGAAAATAAAGATAGCTTTTATATTACCAGCAGAACAATAGAATACAAAAGGACAGACAAACACACATACAACTACTATTATTCAAGCCTGCATTGAAGGCAATTAGCTGCACATTGATGTTTATTGTAAATCATTACTTTATCTTAAATACCTGCCGTTCCACCATCCGTGCTGGGAAAATATTAGGCTTGTGAACTGAGTGATACGATTGAATCATAAAAATACATATACAAGTGTAAGTGTTACTATATGTTTCTTGCAGATGATAAATGCTATGAAGGTCTAGGATTTTTTTTCTTTTGCCTGTCTGTGATGTGAAGGAATTATAATAGACTGAAGTATGTATGAGTGAGAAAACAATGATTTGCTGCCGGTGTTTATTCATGATATCTGTTTGCACAACAATCATCTCTCCTGCATCTGTTTTCTGTAATAATGGAACAATCTGCTCGTTCCTCATTTACACACTGCGTCAGACACTGTGCATTCAGTACCTTTCGCCTTTCCCTTCCCCGTGTAAGTAGCTTAAGGAATAAATCATGAATAATAATAAGTAAACAGCAAACAGACAATTCATAACAGACAGTAAAACCAGTTGAAGCTGCAGTTTGCCTATGACAGACCAACAGGGTCCTTTAAAGAAGAAATGTCAAATGGATGGTGGTCATGATTCAGATCAGCAGGGGGCACTCTTGTGACAGGAAAGCATGGCCCTGTGAGTTTCAACAGGGACGTGATGATGAATTTAGGCATTGGAAATGTGCAACGCTGAGGGAGCTGATGTGTTTGACTTTAGAGAGAATAACTTAAGTGATCTTGGATTATCACAAGCAGGTATGAAAGATAATCAGACCTGCACAGAGTTATTTCTTTTTCATTTCTTATAGAAAATATTGTTTGACACTAAAGCAGGCCCACTTAGATTTAGAGTCAGTGCAATTAATGCCCCCTGAAGCTTCCAAACTTAGTGAGCGAAATTGCTTAAAAAAGGATTCTGTATTATTGCAGCATGAACTGAGGTCCTGAATGTCTGTGTGATAAAAACAGTATGATTGCATCTCTTCTAGTCTTCCCCCTGGCCTTCACATATGAATAGATAAATACCATTTAATGAGGTAGTCGAGCGTGATGTCAAATGAATTTCCCAGCAATCAAAACATTCCTTTCTCTTTATACAATGTGATGTACAAGGAGGTGGAGAATGTCTAGACTGCTGACACAGGCAAAGAATTAAAAATTGTATCATTAAAAAAACAAAACAATTATGGATATTACAATAATTTTTAAACCTTTATAACCCAACCCGAAGTTTGCAAGTAAACATGTTCACTCTTTATTCTCGATGACGATGTGATGCACTGTTATATAATGGAGTCTTTTACATATCCTGGTTTTTCAGTTTGCTTTGAAATCAACTCAATATTTATCACCTTCACATACTTTACTCCATTATAAGAGTT